CTAGAATCCTACTTCATCTTGTTTTTTTTTAAATTTTTTATATTAATTAAAGCTTATTTTCTCATACTATAGAGTTCAACACTGTATAATATTGGGTGTGGTCGATGTAATAAGCCCATCCCACCTGCTAATATAATGTGTCAGAAATGTGAGGGTAGACTTAATATCTGCTCTGTGTGGTAAGTGAAGGACAATCATACTGTATATCAGAAATGTGGCAGTAGTAATAGTAGTAATTGTAATAGAAATTGAAATTTCTTTCAAGATTTTGAGGAGTGGTATTTCATTGAATATTGTATAATACTAGAAAAAATTTATTTGATGCATATACATGTTCTTATGTTGACTAATTTGAATTTTTTACAAATTTTAAAAGTTTCTCAGAAATTGGGCCAAAGTTCCTGTACTATAGTAGTACATGGTTGTTGGCCAAATTTTATCAAAAATGGCAAGAAAAGAATTCTTCATTTTTATAATTTTTTCCTAATGCATATACATGTACTTATGTTACGTAGAAAGTTTGAGAAAAATTTGATCAAGTTTGGATTTTTTTACAAATTTTAAAGTTTCTCAAAAATCGGGTCAAAGTCCCTGTACTATAGTACATGGTCATTGGCCAAATTTCATCAAAAATGACAAGGAGAGAATTCTCCATTTTTATTACATTTTCTGATAAATATACATGTATTTATGTTGCGTAGAAAGTTTGAGCTAAGTCCGATCGAGTTTAGATTTTTTTACAAATTTTTAAAGTCCCTCAAAAACCAGGCCAAAGTCCCTATACTATAGTACAGTGTAAGTGGGAACTGAGCCCTTAAATAAACATTTTAAAAAGATAAATATAAGGCAAGGATATCCATAGGAGGTTAGAAAATAAAGAGCATAATAATGGAAATAATAACAAATAAAATAGAATGAATAAGTTAGGTTAGGATGAGATGAGCTTCAGATATGGCTCTACAGAAGTCATTAGAATCTATTGATCTCATTCTGGAGGGTAATCCCTGTGGGTCATCAGTCAAATTTCATCAAAAATGGCAAGGAGAGAGTTCTCAATTTTTATTACATTTTTTTATGTATAATTATTATACATTGTACATGTCTTTTTGTTGCATATAAATTTAAACTGATTCCAATCAAAATTAGATGTTTTATGAATTTCTAAATTACTGAAGTGAGAGAAGATACTGAAACTTCTTTTTGAAGAGTGCTATCACTCTTTTGTCTTAACTTAATGTCTTTCTCTTTTTTCCTCTCTCTCTCTCTCTCTCTCTCTCTCCCTGTTAGTCATGCTCCTGTTAAAGGATTATACTCAATGTGTGAGGTGTGTGGTCATGGTGGCCACATGTCTCATTTGAAGGAATGGTTCAGTACTAACAGCTGGTGTCCATCTGGTTGTGGACATAACTGTGTAACATGAAAATTAATGAAGATTGTGATTATAATGCTGTTAATTAATAGTGTTAAAGTAACTTGTGATATTAATTTTTACTACTATTTTTGTGCATAATTATTATTATTGAAATGATTATTAATTTGCAAATTATCTATTTTTCTTACCTACAGTACATCAGTATTGTCTCTTAAACCAGACAAAGGACCTGCCTAATCCCATTGTGGTCATATTGGCCACATAGTCATACATTCAACATTGAATGGTTCAGTCTCTATAGTACTGTTTAGTACACTGTTTTGATTGACCTCATATTTGACATGCAGTGCTGTTATTTGTTTCTATCTATTGTACAGGTATATGATACACAGACAGCTCAGCGTCCTAAAGAATCATACTCAGTCAATGCACTTTATTCTGTAGCTAGAGTTAGGTGGAGACCA